TAAAATAGTCATATTTTATGTAAATTCACTTTTACCTGAATTATGTCAGACTCCTGCACTAAGCTAAGAAGGCCTCTCGGATGAGAAACCCATTAACTGCCCCACCCAGCACTCAAACACAAAGGCCTCCAGGTTAATTCTAGAAGAAAAAAACATCTTGCGGGACTATGTTGTTTTTTACTTTTCCTCTTGAAGTAAAAATTCACTCTGAAATGCTTTTTGAATTTTCAGATGTTATTCCAAACCAATTTCCACAGTCCAAGAAAGAAACATCTCTCAATTTTTCCCCCAAGATAGAACACCATGGTTCTAGCTGTTTTAGAAGTTCTGGTTTATACAGTCTACAAAGTTGATTTATTATTATATGCAAACTATACACAGATATAGATTCCTCTTTGTTTTACATTCCAAACAGCCCAAATATGTTTTTAAAACTACAACTGTCTTCATGAGGAAAAGGAGCCTTCCCTTCCTGACTGTTAGGGCTGCAACACCCATCACAGGGGCAGAACACAGGACAAGGCCTGGGGCATTCATTTGCATATCAAGAAGGCAGGACTCAAGATTCTGAGATTCTGCCCTTCATTCTGCAGCTTCCTTGCTGTAAACTGTCAGGCACATTACCACACATTCATGCCCAGACTTAAGAGTCTGTATAGTGATGAGAATAATGCTCCTCTTCCTCATGGGGTGGGAGTCGGCGGTGGGGGGGAGCGGGGAGCTCCAAAGCTCAGTCAATGTTTGCACGATGCTTCTGGGTGCTTACTGAGCGAGCTGTGGGCCATGAAGACAGAAAACACCATCAGCCTCAAAAAAAATGTCAGGCAGGGCTAAGCGTAATAAACTTTGGGTCTATTTAAATGCCAGTCCAGCAAATAGGTCCTTTTTTAAAGGAAAAAAAAGTTTGTTTTTTCCTTTAATACCCTTAGTAACTCAAAACTTTAGTTAGGGAAGAAAATGCCAGAAATTCAACCATGGGTATTTATGCATGGTGGAATTATATAGCCCTTGGGGTTTTTTTTCTTTATAGTGCTCTGTATTTTCTTAATTATTCACATTGAATACATATTAACCATTATAATTGAAAAAGTAGGTAAATACAAGTATTTTTATTTTAAAAAGAAAGGCAAACTATGACAGACAGGATTATTGGTTCCAAATCTTTACTCCCCTCTAGCAGTGTTTTATCTGCATCCTTGCCAAGGTGTCATGGTGAGGGGAGCATGCTTCCACTCTTGGACTGTGGGCTTGACCTTGTGACTTGCTTTGACCAACAGAAAGTTAGCACACAGGATGCCAGCAGAGGCAGGAGACACGCCTGTGCCAGTGGCCTTTGCTCTCATGCTCCTGTCTTTCACCAGGAGAACACGATGCCTGGAGTACCGGCTGGTTCAGAAAAGACAGACACATGGAGCACACTTGATCCCAAACTTCATTTTAGAACCAATTCCAGCAAAGCCCAGGTTAAATCACCCAAAACCCAGCTGACCAACACCCATATGAAAAAGAAAGACATTTATTGTTGTATGCCACTGAAACTTATGCAGTATTATTGCTGCCAAATGATCTACCACCTAATGCCACAAAACACTCAGGCAAAAAGTGTCTCATGGATCAAATTCCAGAATGCAAAACAACAGAAAGGCCACAGCATCCCTCATGCGCTTGTTAATAAAGGGAACCCAATCAACCACCACCCCAGTTTCAGAAAACTCCTTAGCAGACAGGAATTATTTTCCGCCCTCTCATTAAATATACAATTATTTAATTACAAATAAAGAAATCCTATGAAGTAAGAGTTACTTTGAGAGCATTCAACAATGGGATTTCACATTAAAAATATACTGTGAGCCACTTTCAGTATTAAAAATTTTACAACATGATTTTTAATGTTTACAATTGCTTTCCATTTTTGTGTATATCATAATATGTTTAACCAATATCTTTTGCCAGGTATTTAGATGATATGCAATTTTAATTATAATAAATGGTAATGCTCTAAATATAACTAGAGGCAATTCTCCACACATATTAACAACTATTTCCTTGTGATGGGATCTGAGAAAAAGAGTGGCTGGGTTAAGAAATATGTAAATTTTAAAATGTTTAATATGTATTAATTGCCTAGTTTTAGTTTACTTTTGTAATTAAGGGACCAGTTACCCTGCAGATTGAGTCAGCTCCAGATTTCAGCTGAGCAAAGATTTTTCCCTCCTAGAATTCACTCCAATTAAGCTGCTGGAATTTACTGGAAACCTATTGAATACCTACTATGTTAGGAATAGTGTAGTGGTTACTAGCATGGACTCTGGAGCCACAATGCTTAGGTTCAAATCTTGACTCTGCTATCTAGGAGCACCATGATCTTGTGCAGTTTACTCAAATTGTCTGTGCCTCAGTGTTTTCATTCATAAAATGGGGATAAGAGTGCATAAATGCAACCCCTTAAAAACAGTGCCTGCCATATAGTAAGCTCTTAATGTTAGCTGTCATTGTTAGGGATAAATAGGTGAAACATCACAGATCTTCCTCTCAAAGAGAAGAGTCTAGTCAAACTTATCAAGGATAACTGGATGGCAAATTTTCAAACTATAAACTTTGTTTTAAACAAGTTTTTGTTTTAAACAAGGCAGTGAAACTGCTCAAGGGAAAAATTCTTGGATTAAAACAAAGCTAAGCAATAGGAGGGTGGCTGGCCTTTACGTCACAGAATATATCAGGCACAAACTTCTGATGGCCAAACCAGTTTGACTTAATTTTAGTTACAAGGTATACCCTAAGGTAAAGTTATATGTGATTATATATAGTTGCCTAAAAATAATGGAAACCATGTTACTTAAAGATCAGTGGTGACACTTTCTTCTCTCTGCTCCAACATGTGACACTAGCACAGTACCTGACACAAAGTAGAAATCCAGTCAATAAGCAATCCAAACTGATGTTCACAAGCACAACTTCTCCATCAACTGCAAATACTCCAATTCAGCTCATTATGCACATAGTACTGATAGCCACCCATAAGTGGGCTAAGTGCTTTGCACATATTTCTTCATTAAACCCTCCACTAAGCTACCTAGAGGACTAAAGAATGTTACCTTCATATTCCAATACAGCTTCTAAGCAACTGTTTTTAGAAACGGGCTAATGTTCCAGAGATTTCTTTTAAACTCTCCAAAGGACTATTAAATATTTTTTAATTATCTGACTTAAGATTTCATACCTAAAATGGTTGTATAGCAAGCTAAATTGTTTAAGAATAGAATTGCTAGAGTTGTCGATATTATGAAATTGGACTCAAGACCAGCTATTTATTTTTTTTAAAGCTGGAGCCAAATTTCATGTTTCAGATCATGTATCTGCCTCAAGAGTTATATGCTTGCATTGTGTTAAAGCTTTAAGTAAACTAGCAAAAACTGTAGGGAATCATTACTGCCCCTCCTAGGTCAAAAATAATTTAACCTAAGTAAGTAAATTTTCTCTGTAAAAATTATTAAGCCAGGGGATAAGCCTTTTAACCTTTAAGATTTAATTTCTCCACGTATACAATAAGGATAGGACTAAATAATCTCTACGATACCCCACTTAAAGAAGCAAATAGTTTGCATTTATAAAAGGAAAGCAAATGAAAATGTCCTAACAAGCATGAAAAGAACATCAGTAAAACTCAAGTGTGAACATTCGCCTTAAGCTTGGTTAAGTGCAACAATTTTTGGATGAATTTCTTCCCCTGGGCCTGAGGTCAGTTTCACCCTCCACTTCAACAGTGTGCCACACTGGGTCCAATGTTCTAGACTCCATTGAGCATACAGCAGAAGCATTTCTCTTCCCAGAAATTTCATCTCCAAAAAACTCAAAACTCCTAATTCTCAAAAAAAAATGTGATATAAAAATAACTCAATTTATTTCCCAGACCATATGAACCTCCAGACAAGACTGTCATATGTAGAGAAAACTCTGTGTGGGGGGGGGTTAAAAAACGAAGTTTCTTCAAAAATATTTATAAGTAAAGAAAAAGCACTCCTAATGAAATAAGATAAATTTAACTTTTAGTGATTCAGAGTTTAATAACATGAAAATTCACATGATGAATTATTTTTAAAAAACTGCTTTAAGTTGCCTTAAGTTGGATGTCTTTTAGGTAAATAAAAGTAATTTGTGGGTTTTCTGGATTTGAAAATTTTTTAAATTTTAACACAAAAAAAATGAGTGAAAGAAAAAAGTATTTTTTGATGGGTAAAAGATTTGAACACACACTTCAAAGAAGACACATGAATGTCCAATAAGCACATGAAAATATGTTCAACATCATTTGGTCATTAAGAACACACAAATTAAAACCACAGTATGATATAACTATCTACACATTCAAATAGCTAAAGTTAAACAGAGAGGCAATACCACAGCTTGGCAAGGTTGCAAAGCAATTAAATTGCTCATCTGTTGCTGGTGGGAATGCAAAATGATAAAGTTTGGAAACAGTGTGGCAGTTTCTCATAAAGTTCCACATACGCTACTGATACACACCAACACATGGATGAATCTTAAACACACACTGAGTGGAAGAAGCCAGACACAAAGAGCCTGCGAAATATGATTCCATTAATAATTAATACTTAAAATAAATCTAGTAGTGCCATAAAGCAGATCTACAGTTGCCTGAGGCCAAGAATTCGGGGCGAGGGATGGGAATGGTTAAAAGGGGACACAGGGAAGATTTTATACCTTGACTGTGGTGGTGATTACCCTGTTGTATAAATATGCCCAAACCCATCCATATGTACACTAAAATGGGTACATCTTATGCTATGTAAATTATATTTCAGTAAAATTTGCTAATAAAATCCCCCATTTAACTGTTCTCTGAATTGGATGACCAATGGTTTGTAGCCAGGCAAGTCTACTCGTAAGTAGGCTGGTTTTCACCCGTGGACCTCCACGCTGTTTGGGACCCTTCAGTGCACAAATGCAGTCCCTCTTCTTCCACACTGCCTCTGACTCACCAGTTAGGGCTCCTCCCAGACTCCCTCGGCGCAGCTGTCGTCCATCCTCACTCAGCTGTCTTTTAAACTTCAGTGACTTTCCAGGGCCAGAATTCACATCGGGGTTGCTGCACTTCCGAAATGGCATGGGTGGTGGGGATAATATGTGGTCCAGCTGCAGAGAGAAGGACAGTGGTGTCACTTGCTGGGGTCACTCAGTACCACCAGAAGGGAAGACCAACCAGTCACACTTTATTTTCTTTTCCTTGTCTAAATCCCTCTCTCCTGACCTTGTTTTTAATTTGCTTAGTTTAGAGAATTAAGGATTTCAGTGTTCTCTCTTTTATCTGGAAGAATGTTTGGCCAGCTGCAACATCTCAATGCCACTGTTTTTCAAGCTGTCAGTCATGTCAGTGGGTCATGGAATCAAATTTAGTAGACTATGACCAGTATTTCATTTTAATGCAATAGAAATTTTCAAAGTCCAATGAAGGAAAGGAAACTACTGTTTGATGGAATGTTTAAGTTACACATGTGTGTGTTCTGAGTCACTAAGATATGTATCTTTCTGTGGACTTTAATCATCTGAAAAAATGAAGAATATTACTCTATTGGGAATCAATAAATCACTTCTTTAGCTGTTCACAAAAGAAAATCCACAAGCTTTTGGTTCTCACAAATGTACGTAAGGAAGGGAAATTTCTAAGCACCACAGTCCTTAATGGAAATCAATACATCCCTACATCACCTTATAGCTTTTTAAAAGAAAATCTGTCACAAGAATCAGAGAAACCAAAGTCACTTCAAGAGACAGCTTTTTGCAAAAGAATCCCTTGTGTTACAACATTACTCCGATGTCTGCCCTGCTTTTATAAGGAAACCTTTCATAGTTGAATATGACCGCATCTTCCAAAATGTTCACCTTCATGTAAGTATAGATGCATATATACATTTATATGCCTAGATATTATTAAAGACAAAAATATTCATGTACATACATATATCCAGGCAGTTATTAAGAACAAAAAAGAAATACAAAAGATATTCATGGAAATCCCAACTGCCAAAGAAAAAAGCTAACTTTGTAGAAATTTAAATACAAAAAAGATTTGGGTAATTGTGCTCAAAGCCAGGCATTTTTAGGGATGTTTCACTGACATGTATTTTGTTTTCAAGGGTAGAGAGATAGTCATCTGCTTACAGCTGCCTGAATTTTTTTCAGATTAAGACTGTCATGGATATATTCATAGGAAGACAACATTCAGGGACAAAGTCATCCATTTGTCTGTCTATGCACCATAGCACAATCAAAACCATGGCACAAAAAGATATTTGACCCTGCCTATGAGTAATTCCTCCAGAGCCAGTTGAGATGAAACATACCTCATTGTCTCAGCTATTACAAGATGTCTACTCTAAGCTCAGCTATATTCATTTATAACACAGAACAGCTGGGTTTCAAACACTTGTCAAAAAGTACCATCTCAAATCCATTGCCAGTTTTTTTCAAACTATGTTTTGTTCTACTTAGTATTTTAATGAAAGGTCCTTGAAGAACTAACAGCACAGCCACTCCAGGATCAAGCCTAATCGGTGGGGAAAAGGGATTCCAGATGTACTTTTGGAAGGTATTTATTGAGACTGCTGTTCATTACATCTGTGCCCTACTTAGCAAGGCCTTCAAGGAGGAATTTCTGTCTAGTCTTAGACACTTTGCCCTTCCACCTTATGAACAATGAAGTGTGCAAGGGAGCCCTGGACAGCAACACATCAGCTACTAGAAAATGCACGTCCCCATTCAGTGGCCCAAATGTAGTCAGATCATTATACAATGGAGAGGATCTTTTTGCCTCCTTCTTGGCTCCATTTAATGTCCTTACCCGGTTTTTTCTTATTTTCTTCCTGCCATTTTCTTTTTTAATTTGAAGAATTTCAGAAGAAAATGGGCAATGCCAGTAAAGTTATAAGAAAAACACTAAATAAACACCCATATTCCCTTTACCAGCGGTGACATGTTAACCTTTTGCCATATTGCTTTCACGCTCTCTCCTCCTGCCCCCATCCCAGTGACTTAGTTACAGAGACTGTGAGTCTTCACCCCTAACCACTTCAACATGACTCTTTTAAGAATAAGGACATTCTCCGAAATTCTCCTGCCCTGTAGCATACCTGTTATAAGGTGTCTCAAATCTTCTGTTATGGAAGTAAAGTATAAATACTAGGAAATATACAAAATAACATTGTATCACTTAGACTTAATATTAAAAATTGCTCTTTTACATTAAAAGGAAAACTTGCAGCCACAAGGTGGCAATGTACCATTGATATTCCACAAAACGTTCCCTAATAGCCAGGTGCTAGTCCTGTACATGCACCAGGAATCCCTCAGAGCAATCAAGCAAGTTAGGCTCATTCCAGTTAGTTATTTTCTCTTAATTACTAGTGACAGCTGCATAAAATATAAATATTTATTGTGTAAGGTTCACCAACTTCTGCTACTTATAGCTTCACCTGAAGAAAAATTTTTCAGCTTGCAGACTTAACAATTAATTTCTCTGGGGAAGACTGTTATATCACAAATTAACAGAGGGTAGAAAAATAAGCAGAGGAAAGAAGATAATTCCTAAATAGGAATTATGTGATTTCCTTACATATCTCCAACACAGCCACAAAAGACAGGAAACAAATGTAGAAGAAAGAAAAGGATATCAAGGGGAAAGGGTAGGAAAACAAGAAAATCTATTTCACCACATACCTATAGCCACAAGCTCTTAGTTTATAAACCTGAGTTTTTAATCAGAATCACAATCCCAAGAAGGGAGCATTATTTTAAATCTGGGAAAATTTAGGCAGTGAACTGTGAGGGCTGCAAATGCTTCAAACACAATATAAGCAGAAAAACCTATAAGCATAGTGCCATGTTCCAGGATCCCATTTCCTTCTTCCCATCAAATCACACTCCCAGCAGGGCTCTCGCTAAATAGATCATTTTTCCAAATTTGCTGCATTGTCAGTGGCTTTCCTTTTCTTTCTGCAATTAGTCAAAGATTCTCAAAATGGTCCACTACAGCCCTGCAATTTACTTTCCATTTTTTGTCCTGATTCAAATACTCATGCTCCCTTTAAAAACATTTCATCACACCTTGGAGCTTATGGTAGACATCAAACATATCACACTTAGACACTGCCCTTTAAATGATTTTAGTTTAATGCTTTCCAACTTTTCCAAACTCCCAAGGTCTTCATACTACAAGTTCAACCAAAGACAGAGGTTGTCTTTAAACCCTCACTGATGTTCCAGGGCATCTAATCCTGAGCTTGTCATACTTACTACACCAAACACTTTTAAATTCCCTCACTAAGCAACAGTGGGCTCATGGAGAGCCAGCCCTACTCCCTTGTCACGTACTCACCCAGCATGCAGCTAGCCACAAAGGATCTCTGGAAATATGTCCTTCCTTCGTTCACCAATAGCAAATAATTGATTTGTGGGGGACTAGATTTGCTCAAACTTCCTATGTTAGCTTTCTTAATCTCCTTTAGTCCCAAGAGCCACAAAACAGCTTGAAGAGGTGCAACTGTGTTTTATTGAATTTAGAAATCAGACAGAGAGATCAAACATACCACTTACATATTAGCAACTGCTCTTGCTAGCAATTTATCACAGGAAACATGGAAGCATATTAGAGAACAAGAGGTATATAATTACTGTAAGTCTCATGCAGATTTGGGGGAAAGTTTCTAAAATCATGAGTCTTATAGAAATGCTATGCACCAAAATATAGATAAATACATCTATATTTTCCGTATTTATCATCTCTTCGGCCATTGTCTTCTGTTTTACAAATATCAGGTGGATAAAAACAGAAGAATCCACTACAATTACACTATGGCTTCTGTTATCAGTGAAAATCAATTAAAAGTAAAGACAAGTTATTTATGAGACTTGATCTTACTATAATGTTCCTGCCATTATCTCTATTGCCACTATCTCTGAACATGGACCACAGGTTTCTTCCTCTACGGTTTTATACACTAGTAATATCCTCCATCTCTTTCTAAAAGGGCATATAACTTTCACCGAATGTCAAACTTGCAGCCTTCTTAACTGACAACGTTCTCCAACCTCTTCTCCAGGAACTTTCATGCCCAAGCATACAAGTCCTCTAATTTAACAATTTCTAAACAACAATCATAAGAACATAAAGGGATTTTCCAATTTTGCAATTCCTTTTATCTAGCTACTCAAGCCACAAACCTTACAGTTATTCTAAACTTCTCTTACTCCATGTCTAATCAGCAAATCCTCTAACTCAACCTCCAAAACAGAGCCAGAATCCTATCATTTCACTATTTCTACCCCTGGATTTCTCTTGCAACAGCCTCCCAATCCATCTCTGTTTCAATCCTAGTCTCAGTCCAGCAGCCAGGGGTCCTTCTAAAACACCAAACAGCAGGAGCTCCTAATCCTCGGCTGGAGTCCTCCTGTGGATTTCCCTCCACCCAGAACAAAATCCAAAGTCCTGACAGTGCCATACGAGGCCCTAACACCTGCACCTCCGCCTCTCTGACCCCAGCTCCTACCACTCCATTCCACCTACTTTGGCCTGTTGTCAGACTTCAGATGCCCCAGACACCTTCCCACCCAGGACCTTCACACTGGTCATTACCTCTGCTGGACTTGTTCCAGGTATTAGCTACCATGCTCTCCCCACCCAACCTCCAGGTCTCCATAAAAATATTACTCTTTAAGGGGGAGCCTTCTCTAACTACTTTACATAATAGAGCATGCTCACCACTTTATTCCCTTTTCTATTTTTCCCCATAGCATCTATCACCACATATTGGATCTTTTATATTTGTTTATTTTCCTTCTCCTACTAGAATGTAAGTTACATGAAATTATGTTCTAGTCTATTTGTCCACTGCTCTACATAAAAGGCACCCTGTAAGTATTTAAGGAACAAATGAATTGCAAATCTCTAGTATTTACTTTAAATTATAACACAAAAATAAGGAACACATGCAATAAGGTTTTTATTGTTGGAAAAAAACAGAATTATATCAAATGTTACTTAGGATGTTAAAGTGAATCTCTAGCATTTTGACAAAATTGAATACTTCATGTATGAAAAAGACTCTTGGGTTAGAGCAAACGCCATCTTCTCAAGGAAT